TATTAGTCTTGATTAGCCACAACAAGCAGCTAGAGAACAATTTAATAAAGCAAAAACCAACAATCATGACAACCTTGTTTCTGTAACCTTGCAATTATGAAATACAGAGTACCACACTTTAAGATGTATACAAGTAAATCAATGTAACTTCCCAACCCAAACATGCATTTGTAGTTGCATATCTCTGAAAGACTCTACTAAAGGAAACATAGCAGCACATATTCACTAAAGGAAATATATTACCACGCATCCATTAAAGCTATATAATTCCGTAAAATCAAATACATTATACAAGTGATTGTATTCAACATGGTAACCAACAACAAAGTAATTGCTTATATACTACTCTGTAATAAACAATGTCTTAGAAATCAATAGCAACCATTGCACTAAAACAAACGAAGTAGCACTTGTCAAAAATATAATTGAACCATCAAAACAGACCAAAAAAACATTCTGATTCTGTATCAACTATTGTAGTGCATGACAAACAAGTCCCAAAAGGAACACATGGTAATTCCGTTGCATCCACTTCAAAGAGAAGCAAGTTCCATTTCTACCTCTAATCAAGATTATACTAATATCAGGTTTTCTACTTTCAAAGCCTCTAAGATTTGGATTTCTACATTTTTCAATGTCAACACTTCTAAGAGTCTTTCTATCAAACACGTGGAATGCAACCCAAACATGCTGTGCCCATCTGATCAAACAACTACAATACAAAACTTTAATGCAGAAGAATACCTTTGTTCAAAACAAAAACCCAACAGCTCGCTTCTGAAGTCCGTCTCTCGCCGTGGCTGACGTAATATTTGAAGAAATGTTTTTCTTTTATTATTATTGCTGTTTTTTTTTTTTTTGGAGGGGTTTAAGGAAGAAGACGGGAAATAAGGTTATTGCTACACGGAACCGGATATATTTTGAAGCGCCCGGTTCAAATCCAACCGGTCATTGTACTAGTGAAAATAATGTGAAATACTCCGTACTCTTTTTAAGTTGTTTTCGTGAGTACACCGTTGATAGGGCAAATTATCTTGTCCAAGTGTATGGATGGTGTACACGGTTGCAAAAATGATATCATTTTACTTTTTAAAAAAAAATTATTTTCGATTGTTGTTAGTTACGTAAACATATGTTCATAATTTTATACGGAGTAATTTCATATTTTGAATGTATAGTTATGAAGTTATAGATGTGTAGTTATGTATGCAATTCTGAATGTATAGTTATGTATGCAATTTTGAATGTATAGTTATGAAGTTCTGGATATGTAGTTATACAATTCTGAATCTATAGTTATGAAGTTATGGATGTATAGTTCAAATTAAATTATGCACAACATAGCGACATTAACGGCAATCAAAACTGTAGTTATGAAGCAATGGATGTATAGTTATGCAATTCTGAACAACGTCGTTTTTGCAACCGTGTGCACCATACATGATGCACACGGTTGCACAGCATAACGCTCCCGTTGATGGATGATAGTATGGTACTAAGGTATAAGTAAGTATCCCTACCAAAAAAAAGGTATAAGTAACTATCTTATCCCGTGTAATTCATGAATTATATTATATATTTATAATTATTTCAAAATAAATTTTAGAAGTAAATAAAAATAGAATCTCAAAATTTATACGTTTTACAAATATTAAATAAAAATATTAATAATGAAAAAGAATTATATATAATATTTGTTTGTGGTTGAAAGCTGTCTTTTCAAAAAAATAAACCAACATAAACAAAAATTATTAACTAGTGCTTTAAGGGTATGGAAGCCAATTGAAACAAGATGAGAGATTGATTAGTCAAAATGTCCAAAGTTGAGGAACTCGGTAAGGCAAATAAAAGAATGAGATATAGAGCCCCTCTTGGAGAAACCCTAGCAATAGAAAAGAAGCGAAAAAGCACACAAAAGTTACTTTTTTTATAACTATTGTCTTTACTGTCTCTAACAAAAAAAAAAAAAAATCACCTAAATTAAATTGTGATAAAATTTAAAATTGTTTTTGACATTTTATAAAGTTTGGAATCAGTAAAAAGGTGCACCATATTTCAATTTTCTTCCCAATAAATCCCATAAAGATAGTTAAAGAGAAAAGGTGCATTAAAGTAACGAGGTCAGACTTTGCTTTAAAGCAAAAGTGCAAAGCGACGCTATATATATAAATCAATTCACGTGCGGTTGTCCTTCTCATGTGCGATTGTGCGGTTAAATGTGAGTCATTGATATTGTCTAGATCTGTAAATCAACGTCCAGGATTAACAATGATTTAAAAAACGCGCGGTGGCAATTTTGTCTTTTTGTATCTAGGTTGTCCTTCTCATGTGCGATTGTACGGTTAAATGTGAGCCATTGATATTGTCTAAATCAACGTCCAGGATTAACAATGATTTAAAAAACGCGTTGTGGCAATTTGATCTTTTTGTATCTAGGTCAAATTTAAGGTAAGTGGTTTTTGTAATGTGTTGTCGTCTGTATGGCTTAAAGTGCATCAGGTGTTGAAAACTTAAGTGCGTTGATCTAAAGCTTTAGGTCCATGGTTTTCCTTCTTAAGATGTGTGGTTTGTGTGATTAAAGTGCGTCAGTTGTTGAGACTTAAGGTGCATCGGCCTAAAGCTTTAGGTGTGTGGTTTTCCTTCTTAAGGTGCGTGGTTTGTGTGATTAAGGTGAGTGATTTGTATGCTTAAGGTGTGTCAGTTGTTGAAACTTAAGGTGCGCCATTTTAAAACTTTAGGTGTGTTGTTTGTGTTCTTAAGATGCTTTGTTTATATGCTTAAGGTGCGTGATTTGTGTACTTGTGCGCTATTTTAAAACTTTAGGTGCGTAGTTTGTGTCTTTAAGGTTATGCTTTCTTTGTGTGCTTAAGGTGTGTTGTTTGTGTACTTAAGGTGCGTCATTTTAATATTTAAGTGCATCTTTTTGTGTTAACCACACAACTGCACGGTAAACTATTCAAATAGTTATGCAAAATTACAAAAATAAGAACTCTTAAAGTCACAATATCATGACCAAGACTATGTGGTCTAATGGTACCCGGGTTGGACTTTCATTTGGAAGGTTGTGATTTCGAGTCTCAGTGGAGGCGTTATTGATTCTTTGTGTTTCAGTAGGTAGAGCCAGTAGCATCCAAAAAAACATCTCACATCTCACTCCATCATCTTCAAATGCTTCTTCATCTACTAGTCTACGTTTGAGAACTTTTTCCTTTCCCTTAGTCCTTGAACTCTCTGCTTTCTCTTTTCATTTAGAAGCATGCCTAAGAGAATAAATAGTTTCATTTGCACCCGAAAACTTAGCAATTTCTCCCCAAGTCAAGCCATCTCCATCATCAAACAGTACCAACACTTCATTAGCATCATTCGGGATACCTGTCAATCATTCATTAGCAAAATCAATTTGATCAAAACTAATTGGATGGATCAATGGTATCCTGCATTTCCCATCGCCCTCTCAATGCTCTATTATATTTAATGAAAACCAAATCATTAATGCGCATGTGCTCAAGGCGACTTCTCCTTTTCAAACTGGAATATTTAAAATTAATTAGTGCTTAGTGGTAACGGGTTTGGACGACGGGACTAAAAGTCTCGTCGTTCCAACCCGTTATCCAACCGAACACCGAGTTCAAAATTCCAGCAACAGAACTTCTTTAAACACAGCAAGATTCTCATATTATCACATTTAAAAATACCATTTTTATAACCCAACATCATACATATATTTATCTACAAAAGATTCGTGGATCAAATAAACTTTTAAATAAGATTTTAGACCAAAGATTGTACCCAAAAAAAAAAATAATAAAAAAAATACACACACACACTTCAAGTTATAAAAGAGGACAAAATAGATTTAGACATCCATAAATCCTTACCTCAAATACTATTTCCTTAAAGCAAGAATTCATTCCTAAGCTCTTATTCTACATCCTTATTCCTCCATCTCCCAATCATCTTGGGAAGAAGATGAAGCTTTGAAGAGATTGATGAGAGAGAGAGAAGAGAATGGGGCTAAAAAAAAGAATAGTAATCCTTTTATAGATAGAATTTTGAGGGACAAAAATGTAAATATTAAATTTTAGGGGTAGAAGATATAGGTTAGACATTTGGGTTCACGAAAAATTATTGAACTTAGAAATATAAAATATAAAATATATTGTTTTCAAATAAAAAAAAAGGAATATAAAATATATTTGGGCTTAGGGCTTGATAGTTATAAAAATGATTTTTGCTCTCAGATAGGTTTGATTTTGAGTAGTAAAATCATGGGTCATAAAATAATTTATTTAAGTCTTCTTAACAAAATAATTTGTTTTGAAGGCATTCTTGCTAAAATATTTAGATTAAAATAAATTTTTATTTTCTAGAATATTTGTATTAAAATAATATCATTTAAAAATAATAATGGAGTATTACAATAAGATTATTTATTGAATTTTTTATTGAGTAAGAATTGAATAGTTGAGAACTGTATTAAGTAAGAATTTAATAATTGAGGACTTTAATTTGGTAAAATTTATAATCTGAACTAATTTTGTGAATTATATTATAGTTATTAAGGGACAATTTCAGTTATTAACACTATATAAAACTTGCCTTTCAAAGAAAAAAAAAGTATATAAAACTTAGTCATAGTATGTTTATTACAAGCGCTCATTAGCAAAAACTTGTCAAATAGATTATATTGAGACTTAATTGTACTATTTTATTGGTTTAGACTTTAGACGATTTACTAAATGGTTTTTTTTTCTTCACTTATGAAGCTTCATTGTATTATTCCTTATATTAAGGGAACTAATTTTTGGATAAAATGACATTACATTCACATTTTTAAAAAATCACCGGGTTAATCGTACCAGATCTGAGATCCACCAACCGCAGTCCCAGTCAATCATAATTATTTTCAGATCTTTACGCACCCTGGGAGCCAATCCTGGCCGTTCATTTCTTGGCTTTAAACCTATTTAAACCACTGGCCTTGACCTTCTTTCCTCGTACTACTCTCTTCTTCTAAAGCTAGTTCCAAAACCTAAACCCCATAGAAGGAAGCTAAAAACTCTGAGATATATCAATGGCTTTGACCGTCGAGAAAACCAGCTCCGGCCGCGAGTACAAGGTGAAGGACATGTCTCTGGCTGATTTCGGCCGCCTCGAACTCGATCTCGCCGAGGTTGAAATGCCGGGGCTGATGGCCTGCCGGACCGAATTCGGGCCGTCGCAGCCGTTCAAGGGCGCCAGGATTACCGGCAGTCTGCATATGACGATCCAAACGGCGGTTCTGATCGAGACCCTCACGGCGTTGGGCGCGGAGGTGAGATGGTGCTCCTGCAACATCTTCTCCACGCAGGACCACGCCGCGGCGGCCGTTGCGCGCGACAGCGCCGCCGTGTTCGCCTGGAAGGGGGAGACCCTCCAGGAGTACTGGTGGTGCACGGAGAGGGCGCTGGACTGGGGGGCCGGTGGCGGCCCGGATCTCATTGTGGATGATGGCGGGGATGCTACGTTGTTGATCCATGAGGGGGTGAAGGCTGAGGAGGCGTTTGCTAAGAATGGGGCTCTCCCTGATCCGAGTTCGACTGATAATGCGGAGTTTAAGATTGTGTTGACCATCATTAGGGATGGGCTTAAGAGTGATCCCCAGAGGTATACTAAGATGAAGCAAAGGCTTGTTGGGGTTTCTGAGGAGACTACCACTGGTGTCAAGAGGCTTTACCAGATGCAGGAGAATGGCACCCTCCTCTTCCCTGCCATCAATGTCAATGACTCTGTCACCAAGAGCAAGGTATCATCATTTCACTTATATTTTGATTTTTTTTGTGTCCACAAAAGGTGAAATCTTTCGCCCATCAGTATTTGGTGTGGTGTCAAGTCTCACAAGAGGATGAAGCACTCGTAGTGCTTCCCATTAATTGAAAGAATCGGTGTCTGGTATCTTCATCCCTACAAGAGGGTGAAATGCACAAATTGCGACCCTCCATTTAGTGGAAGGATTAGTGTCCGTGCCACCCTCACAAAGAGTATGAAACACTCACACTACACCTATCTATTAGGTGGGAGGGGACCAGACACTCACAAAAGCCATTAAGTGGGAAGATCAGTGTCTTCTGACACCCTCACAAGAAGTCCATAAGTGGGAAGTTCAGCGTCTTGTGACATTGTACCTACCCATTATGTGGGGGATCAGTGTGTCGGGTACTATTTTCATAAGAGGTGAAACACCCATATTGTATGATGATTATGGTATGTGCTATTGATCTACTTGTCTTGTGTGACTAAGAGTTGTGTTGTGTTGTGGTTGCTAGTTTGACAACTTGTACGGATGCCGCCACTCCCTACCCGACGGTTTGATGAGGGCGACGGACGTGATGATCGCCGGAAAGGTAGCCGTGGTGTGCGGGTACGGAGATGTCGGGAAGGGCTGCGCCGCCGCTCTAAAGCAAGCCGGCGCGCGCGTGATCGTGACAGAGATCGACCCAATCTGCGCTCTCCAGGCCACCATGGAAGGCCTCCAGGTCCTCACCCTAGAAGACGTAGTATCCGACGCCGACATCTTCGTCACCACCACCGGCAACAAGGACATCATCATGGTAAACCACATGCGCAAAATGAAAAACAACGCCATCGTCTGCAACATCGGCCACTTCGACAACGAAATCGACATGCAAGGCCTCGAATCCTACCCGGGCGTGAAGCGCATCACCATCAAGCCCCAGACCGACAGATTCGTCTTCCCCGACACAAAAACCGGCATCATCATCCTCGCCGAGGGGCGGCTCATGAACTTAGGATGCGCCACCGGACATCCTAGTTTCGTGATGTCGTGTTCCTTCACGAACCAGGTGATTGCCCAGCTGGAGCTCTGGAAGGAGAAGAGCTCCGGGAAGTATGAGAAGAAGGTTTACATCTTGCCCAAACACCTTGATGAGAAAGTTGCGGCCTTGCATCTTGGGAAGCTTGGGGCTAGGCTCACTAAGCTTACACCAGAACAGTCTGCTTATATTAGTATTCCTGTTGAGGGGCCTTACAAGCCTGCTCACTACAGGTATTAATTCAACGGCAGAGTGGATATAGTATATGGTTTTGTGGGCATTTTGGATGGAATATTTTGAAGGGCAAGTCTTTGGCATAGAAGGCTTGTTCCCTTATATTGAATAAGGTTGAGTTGGAGGGTTTGTTTTAGGGGCTGCAGTAGTAGTTTAGATTCTTTCTTTTCTGTTAGTTTATGCATTTTTTCAGAAATATATTGAGATCAGTTTTGTTTTTGGGTGAGAATTCCTTGGATCTTCATTTTTTTTTGTCTTTTAATGATTTGGATTAGATATGGCGTGGCGTTAACATCAAAACTCTACATCTTAGATATTACATTGGCAAACTCAGCTTTTAAATATATATCATCATAGGCAGCAACACTTTAGCTTTAACCAAAACTCCAATAAGTAGTCTCCTTAAAATTTGTAAATCACCCAAATTTATAATGATTTAACTCCAATCATTTCCCTAGACCTGCCTTGCTAACTTCTCTATACTAGGAATATGATGAAATTACAATGAACTTTGTGATCTTGTATTAATTTGTGTTCTAGTTTGTCAATCGGGTTAAGTTTTACCCTTCAATTCTATCCTTTTAGAAGACAATAAGGATAAGTTTTGCCTCCAACTTAACGCCATTTTAATAGAAAATCTAACAGAAGACCTTTTACAACTAGGAGGACATCTTCTGATCAGTTTAAAATTGCAGGACCACACTTGATAATACCACAACACTTAGAGGCCATTGAAGATATTAATTCTTTATATATAATAGTTAGCATTCTTAGGGAGTGTTTGGTTGAATGGAAAAGTTCCCAAAGAAAATGAATTTCATGAACCAAACACCAAAAAACAATGACATGAAATTTTATTTTTTCATTGAAAGTTGGAAAAATAATATGAAATGACATGACTATTTTATCTTTGTAATTCTTTTTTAATAATAATAATACTTTGTAATATTATTATTATTATTATTATTGTTATTGTATAGGGCATATAGGTCGCTAAATAATGGATCTAACTAAATAATGGAATATCTCCAATGATTTTGCCAACCAAACAATAAGATCTATCTTCTCAAAAATCATTTTACATAAAATTTCAATTCCATTCCCTTTAAATATTTTTTGTAAACCAAAACCCGCCATTAGTTTCATCTTGAATTCTTGATTCTTGAAAATGCATACAGAAAGAATAATATATCATACAATCCAGCAAACTTCCGAAACAGACAAAACTCTAAATTGATTGACTCTGAAGAGAGAGCCTTTTATGTGTTTCATTTGAGCTCGCTTTCTAGTTCATATATATACAAGATTTTCCAGAGGCAAAACATTTAAAATGACATTTGACAAGAATAATCTCACATAATCTTTGAATGATTAATAACTTCTTAGTATAATGCCATACATTCCCATTGGCATCAAAGTGGAATTGCTTATACATACAAACTGGATACATGGATGCGGTTATCCCTAGCCAAGATAGTAAGAAATCCACACTTATAATTACAAAATCACAAGTTTGAGTTCCAGACTCCTTGATTTGAGTCGATCAGTTATGATAACTTTACTTCCTCGTAGTCCTTTATCGACTAGGATCACAATACAGGTTTACCCCCTCGTCATTACAACCAAAAAAAAAAAAAAAAAGGATACATGGATCTTCTTAAGTATACAACAGAAGCAAATTAAAAAGCTTCCTAAAAGATTACTGTAAAATCCGAATCAAGAACAATTAGCCAATTTGATTTTGCAGATCTTCAAGAATTGATATCACTGACCTCTCTAGCACACCTGGTGATAATCTCACACCCTCTGTTATAAGGGTGGGAAGGGGCAGGGCCTTTGCAGTTGTAGTAAGAATCACCAGGGGTATCACAGGGCACCAAATCTCTCTTCAAAGTATCATAGCTTATGTACCTCTTCTGCATCACCAAAACCCTTCTGCTAATCTCAGACTCCATCTCTTCCTCCATGGCACCGCAATCCCTCATTTTCCCACCGCAAAACCTCCGAGATTCAATGGGTTTCACTGAATTTGGGTCAAAAACTGAAGACCCACCACAGATTCCCAAATGGGCATTCAACAAAAGAAGGGCTAAGAAGATGGTACAATGTTTGGTTTTGAGCATCTTGTGATCCCCCCAAAAAAGAGAAAAGTTTTCCTGGTACTTGTAGTGATCTTGAATGTGAGATTCCAGAGAGTGAAATGAAATGGGTTCAAGAATGAAAATTCTGGGAAAAGGAGGAGTGTGACTGTTGTGAGTGGCCCCGAAGAAACAACATGATTTGATCCTTGCACGAGTTAGAGTAATGCACCAATTTTGTCATCATCATACATTTATTACTTTAAAAAAACGGAATAATGAGTAACTCCAACTAAATTCGTCAATTTATTGACCAATGGAGTTATAGAGAACTAAAGACTTAAATACTAGTCAGTAGAATTCAAAAAAAAAAAAAAAAAAAAAAAAAAGGACTTAAGTACTAGACTAGTATTTGAATTTGATAGTTTAAACTAAGAATTTAAAATTATTTACTTACGAAGTATAAAATGTTCTAAACTACTAGTTTGACTATATGATTGATTGGAGGGTGGGGATTCTCCGTCCCTGAAAATTTCCTACGTACGGGAATAGGAATGGGAAAAAACCTCTATTCCTTGCCCCCACGAGGCTATATCAAGTGGTAGACCACCTGACCTAAAGTCACTATTTCAGCAGCAAGGTGGGGGTTCGACTCCCACCAACATCTTGGAGTTAGAGCTTCTCAAGCTAGAGTTTGGGCTCTTGGGTTTCTCAAGTTGGCGAAAGTGTGGAGATGGATCCCTTGTGAGCATAATCAACGACAGGAACTGACTAGGAGGTTGCTTGGGTAACTCGCGATTTTTACCTCCACTAGCTACTCTTGTATTTCTAGCGTAAACTGAGAAACTTAATGTAGCCTTAAAAAAAAATCTATTCCTCAATGGAAACGGGGGGAGCAGGGTGCCAGGGCGGGGTCATGGGGATTGAGATAGAGACGGAGATAAGGAGTATACTCTGCACCCTCACTTTATATTCGCTCGGTTGTCATCCCTATGTGTCATATATTTACCATGATAATAAAAGGATGAAAAATTATTAACATGTCTAGAAGGCAATATTATTTATTTATTTATTTAATATACAATGGTGGGGATGAGCCTACTGCTTCATATACATTGCTACAAGGAGTAATGGAGGTATGTGCAGGAGGGTGACCCACCACTATCCTCCAATTTTGGTGGGATTGCATTTGCACCCTTTTCAACAACCAAAAGTGTGCCATTGTCTTTCTTTCTACAAAGCAATTTGACTTAGTCTGGCCTCTGCATGTGCTGCTATAGGAAAAATTTTATATATACTCTTATTTTTTATTCCTAATTTTTATTCTCACATTTAAAATTTTGATGTAGACATTTTTATAGGGACTCATATAAAAAAAATTAATCTATCAGCGTCTGTCACATCATGAAGTAAGATTTAAGAGTACATGTAATAGAACTCACTGCTATATGCAGCCATGCACAATAGCACAAGCGATTAAGTTGGATATTGAGTAAATTAATAAAATAGTCCCTAAACTATAATGATTTTATAATTTTTAATCTTTAATTTTTAGTTTCATCCAATAAAATTATTGACTTAAATTTTGGTCATTACATTAAACAATCATCAAATATGAGGGCAACAAAAGCAATTTCCATGCTCTCATGCCTTCTCTAATAACTTTCAAGGACCATCAATGGCATGGGTGATCACTAAGTGCCTTACTTTTCAAAATTACCATGAAAATTTTAACTATAAAAAAAATATTAAAAAACTTACTTTTACCAAATTTGGATGAAAGGGGTACTCCTTTAGTTATGGTTGTCATAGTCTCATTTTTTAATTTTTTTTTTTTTTTAAATGGTTGTCATAGTCTCATAGATGCTTTAATTATAAAAATAAAAAATAATAATATTTTGTAGTAACTAAGCTTGCTAACAATCTCTCAAGGTCGGAAAAGTCTGAAAATTACCTAACTACCATCAAATTCAATTACCATTTCATGAAGTTATTGACCAAAAAATTAAAATAAAAAAGATTTTATTATGTAAAATTAAAAATTAAGGGCCAAAATGGTAACAACGATATAGTTGAGGGAGCATTATAGAAATGTAGTGGTTGGACATTCAAAATCAATATAATGCACTCTGAAATCATGCTTGTTCATGTGAAAGTGTTAGATTGTAGTCACATTAGCTTATGGGTTCAGTGTTTTTCTTGTTTAATTAATTGGTGGAGGCCAGTAGGGCTCAACCAACATCATTTCATTTTTCTTTTTTATTATTTCTTTAGATCTGTGAAATAATTTCACACTATATGATTACAATCTTCAAAGATCATGTATTCAAAAAAAGAATAATTTAATTATTCCCTATGTTGTATTTCCTATCAATGTTGTTTTATATTTTTTTTGTTAAAAAATTTTATTTGTATTACCCCTCCATTAAAAAAAAAAAACAAAAAAAAAACCCCTCCAATTGTATTTTTTTTTTAAATATTGGACAAATTATACTATGGATTAGGGTCTACTTTGCATTGTAAACCCTGGTCCAAAAACAACCTTCAGATTCTGTATTTATAGTGACACATTCCGTACTTGCAGTTGATAGGTTCTATACCCGTAACTATCATATTATGTGTCAACAATTATCAAGTTAGATATCTATAGTTGACACATTATGTACATGCAGTTGATAATTTCTGTACATGTAGCTATCATATTATGTGTCAACAATTATCAAGTTATTTTTTACATGTATAGAAACTGTTAACGGTAAGTACAGAATGTGTTAATGAGAGGTACATAATTTTTGTATCAAGGTTCACAATGCAATATGAACCCTGGTCCATGATATAACAATTGTAAATATTGTCAAGTGGTGAGTTAGTAATCGATTTATTCAAGTCGGATTAAAAGAGGAGATGCAAAATATTTTTTTGGCAAAAACTTGTGTGAGACAGGTCAGGTTAATATGTAATGTAATACTTATACTAACAAATGTAATACTAAATCATGAATAAAATGTTTATTACTTGTATGAAAAAGTGTAGTACTTTGGAAGAAAAACGTAAACTTTTATATTTTTCATCAAAAGTATTACATTTTCTTTTATAAGTGCAACATTACTTATAAATGAAAATATAACACTTTTGATGAAAAAAGGTAGTACGCAAAATATCTCTGATTGAACAAATATCTTTGGAACATAATATGATTTCATCAACCCTTTCACCAAAAAGCCTCTATAAAGACTATTAAGAAGTCATATAGAATTATCAGCTATAACTCTTTCCTAGTATGATTGAAAATTTAACAAAATTTCACAATATTCCTTGCATGAGAATAAGTCAATATCCCATCAATCCCTAGTTATCATCCCTAATAATCCCCTGTTGTCATCCCTAGTTAAAATCCAGTATTCTACTACATTGATTTTACTTTTACATGAGCAAAAAGAGAATTTTATAAGAGCTTTATCCCTGTGAATAGCTCTAGGGAACAAAACAGCAAAATAAGACATTTTAGGTCTGAAAATATGAAGTGAATATTAGTGCACATACTAGACATAGAAATGATGTGATCATTTGAGATTTGGAATAAAATGTCAAATTAGGTATATCTCTCTTCAACATTCGACTACCAACTAAAATTCATGGTCACCTTCTACCTGAAATGAAGTTTCCACACCTCTCGGACATTAGAGGACCCATCTGCAAACTCAGCCACGAGAACAGCTGCAAAAACACCTGATGAAGTAGGAGTTCAAATATCAATTGTTGAAACTCGAAAGTGTTAACAATACTAAAAATGGTACATTCACAGGCTTGTCCAATCAAGTTTTGGTAAATTAAACTAGCCAAGCTCATCTATACTTTGTTATTTTACTGTATCTTTTCTTTCATAGCGAGATGCACAGGTTGAAAAATGGTGGTGACTTCAAAATAACTAGGGAATAAAACTAGAAGAACTTATCCTTGCCACAACTCAACTTTTATACACCTTAGGAAAATCTCAAGCTAGTGAGCTAAGGAAGAATCTTTTATAATTATCTCATCCTATAATGCAGTGCCTGATTGAAAACAAAAATTATAGAAGAGTCCCATCCCTTTACCTTTCTATCCACATAAAACAATATAATGATCAAATAACTTAAGAAAGTATGCCCATGCATTAAGCTTTGCAAGTCTGCATATACAAACTCGTAACTATGCTAAAGCAAAGCTTACCATCTTTCTCCACCATGGAAATAAATCGTCTTGACCCCCCACCAACTCCAAAGTAATGCTTTTTAGCGGCTACATAGACAACTCCATGAGGACTACATGTGCACTGAAAATATGAAAAAAAGTAGAAAGGTCAAGAATAAAGAAATCCTTCAAAAAAGATAAATCAAAAGCTGAATATAGAGCACCTTTTTAATAAGTTTATAGAGACTGGGGAGTGCAGAAATTGAATACACGGTTTCAGCCATGAGAACTATATCATAACCAGCAGTGTTGTTCACAGTTTGACATTCGTTTATACCATTTTCATCAGAAAGTGTTTGAGGAAGAATGCGATGAACTTCACTCCAGTCCCCTGCAAAGTAACGCAGTTCGGCCTCAGAAACGCATTTTTCTGTGGAGGATACTGATATCTGCTGAATATTGGCATTTACATTTGGAATGGTGAGGCACTGCAGAACTTCAGCATTAAAATCCTGAAAGTGCACAGCAGCAGCACCCTAATGCACCAAAAAGAGAGATGTGTTAAACAGCAGAGAAACAGGCAAGCTTGTAATTAAAGAAATCACGTTTAATGACACCTGAAAGAATGCAAATATCCCAGGAAGTCCATGACCACAGCCAAGCTGAAATATTTTTTAAAAAAAGAAAAGCACCATTAGCATTGATTGTTGAAGAGAATAAAAAGCTACAATACAGTAAATCCCAATTCCATCATGGCATCATGCAACTTTATAGCAGCGACAGTGTGACAATGCTTACAGCTGCTTCCGTCTAGAAAGATTACAACAGTTCTAACACAAGCCAATTTAGACTGTTGACAAAATGAGAGCACTATT